TGGGGCCGATCACTCCCATTCCTGGGCACGGTAGCGACAAGGTGAAGGGAAACTTGCTTCATCCGCAGGCTGAAGGCGTTGTCGAACTTCTAGACTTCATCGCTTTGCCTGGATTTCAATCCAAAGCTCTACAAGAACATGGATATGGTTGAAAATACGCAGTCTTTCTCTCAAGTGCGTAAGAGGGGCCATACAAGCAAAGAGTTTAGCTATAGTTAGGCGTATGCCTGGTGGCGCAGCACGTCGCGTGTACCGCATCTCGCTACGCCGTCTTTTCGGCTCACATTTGAGTGACATGGGTGGCGCATTCCGCAGTTATCACCGTTCCCGAATTACATCCCATGCTGTCCTCAGGATCTGTATACAGGGGGGGGGGTGGCAAAAAAACACTTTTCTTCCTCGACTTTCGAGGCGCTATAAGTTACACTTTATTAAATTCTGATCGGACATTTCTACCACCATATTAAAGAGCATATTAAATACTATCATGATACTCCGCCACAGCCTTCTGGAGGAGCGCCATCGAGAGATTCTGCCACGCGACCGTGAGTGGGTACCTGAGTTCAGCGAGATCGTTGATTTCTCCGCCACTGTAGACCACCCTGTTGAGCTCCGCCCGAACCGGTAATTGAGGGGGTTTAGTTCAGGTGACCTGCTTAGATATTCCATCTTCTTCAGGTACTCAACGCCCTTCCATTCCAAGTAGGCGAGAGTTTTTCCAACGCCCTTCGATTCCATGTGGTGTCACCCAATCCTGTAGCAGTACAAAGTTTCCAAGAAGGTACGGGCGACGACATGTGGGGAGGATATTCTTCTCGAGTTGCTCGATGTAACCGCCAGCGCTCACCTTCAGTCCGGGGTCCACGAAGAAAATATTGGTCTTTCCATTCCAGGTACGGTCCATACCATCAACCCGCGCCTTGGCGACTGCGGTGAAGATGATGTCCTAGACCGTGGCGACGTTGTCGGAGCTGCTCGATGTTGGAGGTCATCCAGATCGAGAGTACTGGTCTCCAGGTAGCTATCCATGGGTGACTCCATACTAGAAGTTTCGCAGCTGTTTGGAGGTGACATGAATTCCAAAGGTCTTCTCCAGTCAGGCTGCGACTGGAGATGACTTCATATTTTGGTGTACATGAAGGTGATGGGCGAGAGCCAGCTCCTGCTTATCGAGGAACATCTTGGGTATCTTCCGCCCTGGTACTCGTATCCACGTCCTCTGTCTGGGCAGCGAAAACTTTGCTGATATGTGACTCGGTCAAAGTGTCTTTTTTTTGCCCCCCCCCCCCACTGCATATGTACAAAAGTTTTCACTGCAGACGCCGGGGCGTGTCGAATAGCTTGGTTTGGCGCAGCACCAGCCCCGTTTCCCACCAATGGTTGAAGCGTAGAAGCTACAAGAATCGATCAAAAGGGCTGCCGCCGTACAAAACCCGTTCATCTTGCACGCCCTTTCGTCTGCAGCGGAAAAGACTATACACACCCGCCCACATGCCTTGCGTGAGTTTTGTCTCCAAGCGACATTGAGTCGTTTTCTGAAAGAGAATCTCAGGAGGAATCTCTCCAAGTGCTGCGTCAAAAAGTTCGAATCAGAAGAGTATTACATATATTCAAATCGCAGTCATCTTGTTGTGATCATGTGGACGTGTCACCATGGAAGCTCAGTGTACCCTTCATCGCAGCACACAAGCCTGCTGGTGTTGTTTCTATCAACTCTAATTTCAGGGAATACGTGGTGGTGCGACTGATCGGTAATATCATCATACTGGAAGTGTTCGGTCTGGTGATGTACATCGTGTTCTCCTACAAATATGCCAACAATCCGGAAAAGTGAGCGTGTTCTCGTCGTTAATTCCGGGGCTAGGAGATCAGGGCATGCTTCAAAGTTCACTTCGGGCATACCACGTTTAATCCACGTTTCCTATCAGATCCTTGTGATTTTAGGGTGGGTACTGCGGTGTCGATTGTTATTCACACTTTCCTAGCATTCATGTTCATTTTTCCACCGGTAAGTGCCCGCTTTACCCACCATTCAATAGGGCAACGTGCATGAAACTCCTATACTGTTTCTATGAAACTGAGCATGAGAGTTTCATACCGTTCGGTTTCCAGCTGATGTGCTATTTTATGCTTGCTGTACATCGGATGATCAGTACCAAAATTCGCACGCTGTTACTTCTTCTGATGATATCGATGTCATTTGAAGTAAGATAATCAGTAAACTAGGAGAAGTCACACAGTCAATAACCATTTGTTTTCCAGGGTCCCGCAATGAACGCTGTCACGAATATCTACCGCGTAGCCGAAGGCCTTGGCTGTATTCAAACTGACGTAGTTTCTTCCCTGAAGGACGTCAAAGGCAGAGCCGGAGATTTCAAAGAGGTTTTCTACTATATTGCTGTATGCACTACTCTACTAATGGTGACATTGTGAGAAAAAGCGGCAGATTCGCTCGAGACATGTGGTGGCTCGTCCCGCGCATACAAATGTCCTGGATTCAGAAAGAGTCGGTTTTCAGTTGTGAGAAATTGGATGAAGATCTCTTTTCTAGCTTCTCCCTAGGCCAAACCTGTGATCTTTGCAGTGATACACTCTAGTTCGCTGCGGACGGTTGGGCGTGTCAGCCAGTATGAGTGTTCACACCTTCAGAGCCTTTCTCTGCCTTCTTGTTGAAGCGCATGCGACAAAAAGTGGTAGAAAACGAGTAATACGAACGATATGATACAGTCATATCATTTGCTCGCTTTAACAACTGGTGGAGAACGGGTTTGGCACCGCGCCAAACGCAGCCGCACTGACACGCCCAACCGTCCGCAGCGAACTACACTATAAGTACATTACTAGTTGTAAGCACAATCCGCTCTTTGTGTCT